GGACCCGGCGCCCTGGACCTGCCCGGAGGGCCCGCGGGAGGGCGCGAAGGGTGGGGCGCGCCCGCGTGCCTCCCCGCGGCTGAGCAGCCCCGGCTCACCTGGGGCTCCCGCGGGCTCCGGCGGGGGCGTCCTGGCGGGTCCGCCGCGCGCGGCCGCGGGGGGGCGAGGCGGGAGGACCCCCGAGCACCGCCGGGGGCTCGCTCTCCCGGGGCTTCCGCGGCGCTGGGGGTCGGGGGGAGGACGCCCAGGCGCGACTCCAGACGGCCACATCCGAGGGGGCAGGGAGGCTGACGTCGTGGCCCACCTCGTCGGACACCCTAGCTGGCACGTTTCCAGGTGTGACCCCCCGCCCCCCATCAGACCGCTCTCGCGGTCCAATCCACACGCTCTCGAGAAAGTCTGAAAAGTTTGTTTCACGAGTAGAGGTGCGGGCTTGAGAGTGTGGTTCGGCGTATTTTCTGCAACGCAAAAGGGAAACCCTTTCCTAGAATCTGTTTTCCTGGAAAATGGAGATGAGGGTAAGTACTGCACCCGGCTGCGTTTCTCAAGCCCCTCGCCCCTCGTCAAAGTCAGTGACCGCAGCTAAAGGCGGGCGGCCTCTGCACCGAATCCTCGTGTCCCCCTCCCGCCGCCGAAAGTATTGTAGGAGTCAGGGTGTTGGATCATACGTATGAGGCTGCTCTTTGGGGTAAGGATTTTAACGTCCTCGGCGCTCCGGAGTGGTTCAGAGCTAGGAATTGCGCGTCGTGCCTGGCTCCCTTCCTTCCCTTCCGGGGAAGGTCAAGGCCAGGCTGTAGCTCACCACAACCAGCACAGAGGAGGTCCTCGTCGGCGGCAAGCAGCTCAGGTGGGCAGCAGGGCCAGAGATGGTTCCTCTGCCTTGGAAGAAAAAGAGTTTTTTTTTACTTAACATCGGTTTCGGAAGGGTTTGGAAAATTCAATAACCTGAATCCCAATTTAGTATCCACGGTAAAATGACAAACTGACGTGTTGTATTATGTTTTCTTGTGACATGTTGCCAAGGGCTTGTCACTTTCTACTATGTTTTGTAGTGAAAACTTTTATTGTTAGTTAGGCTGACAGTGTGAAACTTGAGAATATTAACAGTGCTTTCTAAAAATGCATTCTCTGCCTGATATATTTCTTTGGATAGATCTGGAGCAGACATAATCAGGTTCAGTTAAGATAGAAATGCCCTATTCTGAAGGAACTAACTTCCCTCCTTCCTGTCCTTCAGCAGTTGTGGAATGTTGCTTAGGCAAATTAACCTCATGGCTTTAATGTCCTCATCTACAGTGACAAACGAATGGTTGAATTAAGTACCATCCTGTGAACCTGAGTATCTTTTTACTGGTTTGCTTAGGTTGACATGTATTTGAAGGCTCCACATTTGCAGGCTAACTAGGGTATATGATTTGTGTGTGTATCTATGAAAATGTTCCACAATAGCTCAATCAGGATTTACTGTCTTCATCTCGAGTAACGATGTGTACGGTGTTGTCAAAGTTGAGGTTCTTACATTTCTAGAATGAATAAATGTTCAGTGACTTTTATTTCTAATCCTGATATGTTTCCAATTATGTATTTCCAACGTGATTGAGAATTGAGAAGCCTGGTGCAGTAGTGTATACCTGTAGTCGCAGTTACTCTGGAGGCTGAGATGTGAGGATCACTTGATCTCAGGAGTTCGAGACCAGCCTGGGCGATTTAGGAAACCCCATTGCAAAACAAAACAAAACAAACAAACAAAAACCTGAGAAAATTCCCATGTTGACTTTGACAGTGGTTGGGGGCTGTGTTAAATTGGAAAACCACCCTGTGTCTTGATAAAATTTGGAATGGTATTGAGTGGTACATTAGTCAGTATTCTTAACTGGAAGTGTAGACGTTAGGGAAGCAAAACTTAAATCTCATGCCCTAGTTCCCCCATCACTACGCCTCAAGAAGTCCTAAGGTTGCTTGTCATATTTCTTCTCTTCAGTTCCCATCGCTATTACATGCTTTACTAGAGGCTTGGACATCAGGAAAGAGAAAGCAGATGTCCTTTGTCCAGGAGGCTGCCCTCTTGAGGAATTCTCTGTGTTTGGGAACATAGTATATGCATCTGTATCGAGCATATGTGGGGCCGCCGTCCACAGGTAAGCCCAGACATTCCAGGGTGGGAGGGAAATGCAAGCATGATGATTTCCTTTCCTGCTCTAAGTCATCTGGGCCCCCTTCCTCTCCATATTCTATCTTTTGGTGTCATTTTGGTCATAGAAGATGAATACATTTTTAAGATTTTTCCTGGGTATCTTTGAAACACCAAATACACAAGGGAAGCTTTCTGACAAAAGGCAGATTGCATTACTTCTTGACAGCTAGATTCCTGTGATTCTAAAACATTCCTAATTATGTCATATATGACTGAGTTTTTACTATGTGTCAGCTCTTAATTTAACTTCGATCATTCTACAAGGTAGGTACAATTTTACTTTACAGATGAAGAAAACGGATCTCAGAGTTGTCAAGTATCTTGCCCAAGGTCCTTATTGTTAGCAAGTGCCATGCTATCCTGCAGTAGAATGGCCAGTAGGAAATTTAAATGCCTTGGACTGTTTTTTTGTTTGAGTGTCTTAGGAAAGTTGTTTAGCACTCTTTTATTAACTCTGAATCTCTGAAATGTAGGGAACAGGATACTACAAGTGTGTTCTTATCAACACTTAAGTTTGACAGCACAAAACCATTTCTCCAGGCATATTTTGTATCTGTGTAAGCAAGTTTTTAAACAGCTAGCAGCATCCTTAGATGACTTCCTTACTGAATGAACTATTTTTTTAAATTAAAGCAATGGAAGCAACACGGCACTATAACTCAGTCGGATGCCCTGAAAAAGTATGGATAGCATCTCAGCTGTTATTCTTGTGTTGCAGGGGAGTAATCAGCAGTTCAGGGGGACCTGTCCGAGTCTATAGCCTACCTGGTCGAGAAAACTATTCCTCAGTAGATGCCAATGGCATCCAGTCGCAAACACTTTCTAGATGGTCTGCTTCTTTCACAGTAACTAGTAGGTACAATTACATTGTTTTCACTTTTGTAACACTGTCCCTCTACCCTCACCTCCCCCCCAAAAAAGTTTTCTGTTTTTCTTAGCCCAACCTCTTTAACTCTGGTAGAAAAACCTGTGATCAAGATTGAAGAGGTAAACTGTGGGTTAGACTGAGGGGTCAAGTACCCACTCAAGTCAAATGTGGGTGCATAGGGGAAAGACAATCTTACTGTCACGTGAGAGCATTAGAAACTTGAATTGCGTGCTGTCTGAATACCCACTTATCAAGTTACACTAAACTGAAAAACTAGTGAATTCATTTTTGGTGATCCTTTTAAAGTATAACAGATAAGCATTTTGGTTCTCTGCTACTAGCATACAGCATGATGTTTGTAACTGTAATCACCATTACCCTGTTACATTTGTCATCCTGTAAAATCCAAAATTAATAATACTTTGGTGAAGAAGGAAAAGGGGGGAAAAAAGCATCTGTTTATTTTAACAGAAGGCAAAAGTGGTACCCAGGAGGCTACAGGACAAGCAGTGTCCACAGCACGTCCACCAACAGGTATGAAATATGGAACCTACCTAGTTGCTTGGCACAGCATTTGGAAATTATAAATAAATGTGTTGTTGGTAGAAGCTTTCCTTTAAAAAATTGATTTTTAGTAAGAGAAACAAAGCAAATATCTTAAGTCTGCTGTCATTACATATGGAAACATTACATTTTACATTTCAGATTCCTTATCCTTCTTATATTTTTTCAGTTATGGACTCTGCTACCAATCATTCTCTTGAAGTCCTATAATTTCTGCCTGATTTGATAAACCACACATAGGAACTGGTCAAAGGAAAAGTAACATGAACTTCTTCCTAGTTCCATTTACTCCATTCCCTTTCCTTGATTGCTGCTTTGTCATATAAAGGAATTAGTATGTATCTACTGTAAAAAAGAAAAAAAAAAAAAGCCAAGACTCCCCTTTTATAAGGCTATGGCAGTTTTAAGGTCAAAGAAACTAAGAACATTAGGACCTAACTCTGAGTGCCTGTCTCAGCTGTGTGTTTGAGATATCATAGACCTGAATTCGAGGCATATCATATACATGTAGGCCTATTACAGTCCTGATTTATTTGTTGGATCATTGCTTCCCCAGTCCAGAAAATATCGAGGAAATTAATTTTTTTAAGAACCATCTTTTCAGCCGGGCTCAGTGGCTCAGCCTGTAATCCTGTGCCTTGGGAGGCTGAGGTGAGTGGATTGCCTGAGCCTGCAGGTTCGAGACCCACCTGGGCAACTTGGTGAGACCTCATCTCTACAACAAATCAAAAAATTAGCCGGGTGTGGTGGTGGTGCACGCCTCTAGTTCCAGCTACTTGGAAGGCTGGGCGACAGAGTGAGACTCCAACTCAAAAAAAAAAAAAAGCCCTCTTTTCAAGAATGATACTCCTTGTTGTCATGAGTTTTTCCCCATGTGGGCATTTTGCTATGAAACTGTCCTTTGTTAATGCCAATTGCTTTATTTCAGGTAAACGACTAAAGAAAACACCTGAGAAGAAAACTGGTAATAAAGGTAAGAATCAAGATATTTGGGAAGATAACATTTTCTCTCCCTCTTCTTGAGACTGCTAATGCCAGGACTTGTTTGGGTGTTCACAGACTGTAAAGCAGACATTGCATTTCTAATTGATGGAAGCTTTAATATCGGGCAGCGCCGATTTAATTTACAGAAGAATTTTGTCGGGAAAGTGGCTCTAATGTTGGGAATTGGAACAGAAGGACCGCACGTGGGCCTTGTTCAAGCCAGGTACCAACCTTATTAAAATGAGAGATTTTTTTTAAATGATGTGTTCATGTTTTAATTGACACAGTAATTGTATATATAGGGTACATGGTAATGTTTTCATACATACAACATATAGTGGTCAAATTAGGGTAATTAGCATATCCATCGCCTTAAGTATTTTTCATTGGGAACGTTCAAAATCAGATGGGAGGAGATTTGAATGATGTCTTAAATAATGACAAATTATCGATCCTTTTCGTGGGTACATTCATTTTAGTTCAATATAAACATGTTGAGTTGTGGCCATCTAAACTATATAAATTCATGGTCTAAGACCACATAGGCAAACTGAGTAAGGCTGAGTACATCCTTTTAGAATAAAAGGTTTAGAGAATTGTATGCTATGTACATGAGGACCAGACGGTAGGCTGAAGGGTCCTGTTGCTCTCACAAATCATCTCTGCACATCTACTCAATTCCCAATTTCTCTTCTCCGTAGAAGCAATGCTATGTCTATTCCTCCTTCCCTATTCTGTCATTTTTTTTAGCTCTTTCCATATTCTCTTGGTTGGAGATCTGAACATGACCTTTTTATTTTATTCATTCAAAAATAATATGTAGCCGGGCTCTGTGGCTCAGCCTGTAATCCCGCGCTTTGGGAGGCTGAGGTGAATGGATTGCCTGAGCCCGTGGGTTCGAGACCCGCCTGGGCCGCGAGATCTCATCTCTACAATAAAACAAAAAATCAGCCGGGCGTGATAGCGCATGCCTGTAATTCCACCTACTCGGAAGGCTGAGGCAGAAGGATCGCCGGAGCCCAGCAGGTCGAGGCTGCGGTGGCCGGGAGCAGCCACTGCACTCCAGTCTGGGCGACAGAGTGAGACTCCAACTCAAAAAAATAAAACAAAACAAAAAAATTTCCCAATTTTATATGCCCTAATCACTATAATGTTTTATTTTAAGAAAATATTTGACTATACACAAATATGTCTTTTTTTAAATCTCAGACTATAAAAATGTCTTTGCATCCTGTTTTTTCATCCTTTAGTGTTCTGAACATTTTCTCATACCACAAGTATTCATCAAAAATTAATTTCCTTGCATGATTATTTAACCACTCTTTGTTTTTGCACCATTGTACATTACGCTGTAATGAACATCTTTTGATATCATCTTTGTGCTCATCTCTGAGTGTTTCATTAGGCTAGATTCCTAGAAACGAAGTTCTAACATCGTTAAGGCTTCTGATATAAATAGCAGAATTGAGCCTGTAGTCCCATACTCAGGAGGCTGAGGTGAGGATCTCTTGGGCCCAGGAGTTTGAGCTTGCTATAATCACACTATTGCACTCCAGCCTGAACAACAGAGTGAGACCCAATCTCTAAGAAATAATGATAAAATAAATAGCAGAATTATTTTCTAAAAAGTTGAAGCAGTTTAAACTACCATCAGCAGTGTATAAGTGTGTATAAACAGTACCATTACAAATATTAATTTATATTTCATTTGTTCTTACATTATTACAAGTGGCTCTGTTCTTAGTGTAGATAATTTTTAGGTGTGAGGTGAAAATTTAACTTTGATTTTTACATAATTTAACCATTTGTCTCTCACCTTACCAAAAAAAACAACCCTCCTTTTTTCATTGATTTATGGTATCACCTTTATGCCTAAGTTTGGGCAATTCTGTTCTTTGATTCATATGCTAATCCTTACATTTTTTCTACACTGCTTTGATTATTGTGGCTTTATTGTACATTTTAACATCCCATGAGGCAAATTCCTCTGCGGTACTTTCATCTTACACTTTTTTTTATTTTTACTTATTTGACCCAATTCTTTCTTAAGATGAAATCTACATTACAAAGACTTAACTTCTTGTAATTTCCTTGTTTATAGTTTTTCTACTTTAGAAAAAACATTGGAATGAACTATATTAAGAGTTTATATTTAAGTAGAATATATTCTTAAGGATGTACAAGTAAGACTAATTTCATAAGTAATAATTTAGATAGTTGAAAAGTGACCATAAAAGTGAAAAGGTTTTCAGCCCATGAAATCTCATTTTGTTACCCAATATTCTATCAGGTATGCAGAAATACTAATAGTAGGTATGCAGAGATCAGTGTCATACTTCTCCCTCAAAAAATCTTGACTTACTAAAATGACACTGATAATGCTAAGATCTTAACGTTTTGCACTTATATTGAATTATCTAAGAACTAAACACGACAAATTCTGCCTTAGTTGTTTATATTCAACATGGTCTCTAATGAACAGAGTAGTTATGAAAGGAAGCTGAAATTCTTTTCATATTGAATATAGAAAATGAAATTTCAAAACTCTTCACAATACACATAATTTTAAGATTGGCATATATTATCACTTATTACAAGAATGTCAATATTGTAACTTTATAATTTATTTCCTGATAACTTTTCCCATTTTATTTTTTTTTGAGTTGGAGTCTCACTCTGTCACCCAGGCCAGAGTGCAGTGGCTGCTTCCGGTCACCACAGCCTCGACCCGCTGGGCTCCGGCGATCCTTCCGCCTCAGCCTTCCAAGTAGCTGGAACTACAGGCGAACGCTACCATGCCCAGCTGATTTTTTGATTTATTGTAGAGATGAGGTCTTGCCAAGTTGCCCAGGTGGGTCTCGAACCTGCGGGCTCAGGCAATCCACTCACCTCGGCCTCCCAAAGGCGCAGGATTGCAGGCTGAGCTACCAAGCCCGGCTAACTTTTCCCATTTTAAAAATGCTCAGTGCTATCTGAGTGGCATTGAAATTGTCTCTTCTAGCCCCTCAAGTTAGAGCTAAAGTCCTCACTGCAGGGATCAAAAACCAACCAATCAGCTCACCATTAGCCCCTGCCTTCTGCTGCTTGGTCCTTAATACTGACCAATCAAAACAGCAACAGCTCACAGCTAGTGGGAGCCAATCAGCTTGGACTTAGGGCTATATAAGCCCTGGCAACCCCTTCAGATCCCCTGCACCATGGGAGCTTTTCTGTCTTCTCAATAAATCCTACTTACTCGCTAAAAAAGAACAAAAAACAAACAAAGTCTCTTCTGACCAGAGAGACCTGGGCAAATAGAGCCACACTGTTTTGAGCTTTGGCATTCCCCACTGGAGTAGACCTAGTCTATACCTGGCTGCCTTCTAGTTAGTTTAGCTACCTGATGCCCAACTCTGTAGACTTCCGTTAAACCCAGGGCCCTGAGCCAAGCCTGGTTTCGGGTGCTCCAGACAGCGTAGACATAGACTTTGGAGCCAAACAACCTGAATTTAAGATACAGCTGTTTTGTTGGGCAAACTGCCTAAATGCTCTCAACCTCAGTTTCTCCTTTACATAATTGGGATAATTTCTATCTAGTACCACTATGGTGAAGTGAGGTTATATCTGTAATATGTATTTGGCTTAATACTAAACCCTCAGTGTAGCAATTGCCTTAGTTACATTTCTGAAATATCCCTAGTACTTCAAATAAGGATGATATATCTTAATTGGCTATATACTGTGGGATTAAAAAAGAAACTTGGATGTTGTCTGATTTTAAAACTGTTTTTTAAGGCATATAATGTTGCTTGTTTATTTTGCCTCTTCAATTCTCCATGGATAACATTTTCTTTTTCTTCCATTTAGTGAACATCCCAAAATAGAATTTTATCTGAAAAACTTTACATCAGCCAAAGATGTTTTGTTTGCCATAAAGGAAGTAGGTTTCAGAGGGGGTAATTCCAATACAGGTAAGTAGACTTTGACACTTGGGATATAATATAGGAGAGGGTTTCAGTGATCAGTCACGTAAAACAACATTATGCTATTTTACATAAGCAGAAGTGAAACTTCCTCCTGGCTCTGAAATCTTGGCTAGGTCTGCATTTGATCATCTGAGATGAATATTCAATTTATAATGGAAAGTACACCAAAAGGTTGATATTTCTTATTTTAAAAATTCTAAAGCAATGTGATTTATAACGCTTATCTAGCCGGGCTTGGTGGCTCAGCCTGTAATCCTGCGCTTTGGGAGGCTGAGGTGAGTGGATTGCCTGAGCCCGCGGGTTCGAGACCCGCCTGGGCAGCGAGACCTCATCTCTACAATAAATCAAAAAATCAGCCAGGTGTGGTAGCGTGTGCCTGTGATTCCGGCTATTCGGAAGGCTGAGGCGGAAGGATCGCCGGAGCCCAGCAGGTCGAGGCTGCGGTGGCCGGGAGCGGCCACTGCACTCCAGTCTGGGTGACTGAGTGAGACGCCAACTCAAAAAAATAAGAAATATATATATAAAATATATAAATGTATATAATATTATATATAAAAAATATAAATATATATATATAACGCTTATCCATTGGACTGGCCAGGTATCACTTTGGAAGCAAAGATCTACAGACCTGTCAGCTATGGCAGAAAGAATTAGAATAGCACTATTGTTGACCCTCTGAAGAGACACTTCTTCTTCTGACTCCTTAGAGGCACTAATCAGTCACCAGAGGGCAAGATAGAAAGCACATGCATAGTAGTAGGAGTCAGTTTTGTATTTCTGACTGGTGACTGATGTGAGGTAAGGAAATGTGAAGCTTCTTGAAGGTGGTGGGGGAAGTAATGTGGGTTGTGAAGACAAGAAATAGGCCTGAGGGATAATTAAACTTTCCCATTTTGTGCATCTGTTGTAGAACCTGAGTTCTGTAAATTCTTAGTAGCAATAAGCTGCTACAGGGAAATACAAATGTCGTTTGAGCCACTTGTTTGCTGCTTTTTTAAACCTAGGAAAAGCCTTGAAGCATACTGCTCAGAAATTCTTCACAGTAGATGCTGGAGTGAGAAAAGGGATCCCCAAAGTGGCGGTGGTATTTATTGATGGTTGGCCTTCTGATGACATCGAGGAAGCAGGCATTGTGGCCAGAGAATTTGGTGTCAATGTATTCATAGTTTCTGTGGCCAAGCCTATCCCTGAAGAACTGGGAATGGTTCAGGATGTTGCATTTGTTGACAAGGTGAGGTGGTCCAGGGCATCCTTTCTTACGGTGGTAGTGATTCACGTTTTGACTAGCCCATATTAACCTTGAGCATTGAAGATTTTCCCTAATTTTTAAGAAGAAACAACTTTTGATCCCTTTGGATACGTCTTATCTGCCTCTCCCCCTAGGCTGTCTGTCGGAGTAACGGCTTCTTCTCTTACCACATGCCCAACTGGTTTGGCACCACGAAATATGTAAAGCCTCTGGTACAGAAGCTCTGCACTCACGAGCAAATGATGTGCAGCAAGACCTGCTATAATTCAGTGAACATCGCCTTTCTGATTGATGGCTCCAGCAGTGTTGGAGATAGTAATTTCCGTCTCATGCTTGAATTTGTTTCCAACATAGCCAAAACTTTTGAAATCTCAGACATTGGCGCCAAGATAGCTGCTGTACAGTTTACTTACGATCAGCGCACAGAATTCAGTTTCACTGACTACAGCACCAAAGAGAATGTCCTAGCTGTTATCAGAAACATCCGCTATATGAGTGGTGGAACAGCGACTGGTGATGCCATTTCCTTTACTGTCAGAAATGTGTTTGGTCCCATAAGGGAGAGCCCCAACAAGAACTTCCTAGTCGTTGTGACAGATGGGCAGTCCTATGATGACGTCCGAGGCCCTGCCGCTGCAGCGCATGATGCAGGTAAGGTCCTTGTCGTTTGCATGGGGAGGGGATGAAGGATAGTTCGGTGACTTTTAGGAGTAAACAGACTTTAAACAATTATTTCATGGAACAAACATCTTAGTGGGCAGCCACTGTTAGAAGAGCTTTACCCAATATCAACTGATTTGTCAAAGCAGTCCTACTCATCTCATTCTACAGATAAGTAAACAAACCTCCCCAAAGTGACACAGCTAGTAAGTGGCAAGGCCGGGATCCAAATCCAGGTATTTTAGTTCCAGTGGAGCCCACATTCCTAACTGCTGTATTGGAACAACTGCCATGAGAACCATGCCACGTGTTAAGGAAATGCTACAAGTGCTCCCATTTAGCTCAAATTTGGACAGTATCCCCAAATAGTTTATCACAATCTACCTTTCGATAATTTGTCCTTTTTAGTAAAGTTTTGTCCGGCGTGTTTCTAAGATGATGAGGTCTCCAGTAAAGACTTTAATCATAGCCCATCTAAACTTCCTCAAGTATTTTTTTTTCCTTGAGATAATGAAAACATACTCTGGTGTTATAAAAGGGCTAAAGGCTTTTCTTCCTCACCCCATCCTTAATATTAATTTTGGTGAAGGCCTAGTACCTGAAGTTATTAGCATAATATGTTGCTGAGAGCAAACAGACCAATGAAAAGCTAAGGTTCCCTTCCTGGAGCTACAACTGAGTGACTTAAACTTTAAGAAGTTGGCCCACATTGAAATAGAGTCATGAAAATTATCCCTTAGTGATAGTTAAGTGAAAGACACATACACACACACACAGCAGAAAATAGGGTAGGCTTTTAGGGCTAGTTTTAGGCTAGTTGAGTTTTTTTAAAAACTGTAGAGTAGGGAGAGAAGGTTAGATGGTCGTGATAAATTAGAAATTGTTTCAAGTAGTTTTTATGTTGTCTAAATCTGCTTCATATCTGAAGACTTCACAACTCTGATCATTAGGAGTACCAAACTCCAGAAATGTTATGGGAAGTTTCACCCAGCATTAGATAGGTGGTAGGCTACACTAAGAATCTGCTAAACGGATACTTGGACAATAGGGGTTCAGCTGAATCCAACTAATATCACCCTAAACAAAATAGTTTTTCCAGTAACTCAAATGAATGTAAAACCTTATGAAACTGAAGAAATTACTCCAGCTTCATAGAAATCCCTCTTTGGCAGTTTTTTTTTAATCATCAGATTTTTGTTTGGGATTATAGACAGGCATTTTCCAATTATTACACAATTTGTCGATACGACTGTAAAGATTAAAATGGAAGAAACAACTTACCAACAGACTAGTCACCATTCCCCACATAAGGCAGTCTTAGAAAACTTCAGTTTACTTATCCTTAGACCATTCTTTCTTGCTTTAATGTACCGACTGAAACTCCAGTATGGTGTTTAACTGATGACAACAGGCAGTCCTTTCTCAAGCCAATCTGAGAGGACATTTCACCATGTGTCTTTGTCATGGGATTTCTTTAAAAGACAATGTGTATCAGGTTAAGAAAGTTTCCTTCTATTTCTAGTTTACTCAGTGTTCTGCCATGAATGAATATTGAACTTTATCAAACCTTTTATGAGTGATCATGATTTGTTAATGTGATGACTTACTGACGTTGCAAAGCTTCTTGTATTGACCAAACTCTCTTGCTGCTCTCATCATCACGACTATAAACAATTTGGAACAGGGGATTCAATTGTTCAGAAATGAGTAGGCAGTTTTCTCTGCAGCTATGTAATAATGTATAGAAAATATATAGACATAATTTTATATGTAAGCTGGACCTGGTTTTAATTCATGTCAACACGTTTCTATTGTAGGTATCACCATCTTCTCTGTTGGTGTGGCCTGGGCACCTCTGGATGACCTGAGAGATATGGCCTCTAAACCAAAGGAGTCACATGCTTTCTTCACAAGAGAGTTCACAGGATTAGAACCAATTGTTTCCGATGTTATTAGAGGCATTTGCAGAGATTTCTTAGAATCCCAGCAATAATGGTGACATTCTGGCAACTGAGAAAGTACAAGATCTAATGTATAAATTGTACTCCCATAATACTGAAATACTATAGCATACTAGGATCAGATACAAAACTATACTAAGTATGTCAACTGCCGTTTTAAGCCAATTAATATACCTTAAAAACTCCTGCCTTCAGATTACAATTTACAGTATATTTTATTCAAAACACACTGCTGAGGCTTCATAATCATGACCCTTAGAAACTCAGGAGATATTGCAGATTAAAACCTTGAGTTCTATCATGCCCATTGAATGCATAGATATGCAAATTCCACAGCACAACAAAAGAATCTAATATTTAGGTCAAAAGCAACATTCCTTCTCTAATCATTCTGTATTAACTAAAGAAAATGACGAGAAATTTAAATGGAAAACAGCTCTTTAACATGGTTCAAATATAAAAATCTTGACCCAAATGGATGTTTTCTTAAAAGCAATCAGTAATAGCTATTACTCCACATGTGGAAATATAAAGAAATCATGTATCACTCTCTTGTAGTGTACTATCATGACAACTTACGATTAAAAATATCACACTGAATAAGATAGCAAGGTTGCTTGGTATTCTATTTATCTCCTTAATTTCTTGTGCATGGATATATTTGGCTTATCCTCAAAGTCATCCAAGTACTTAAAAGATTAAGTTGGTAAAGTTTTACTTACTGCTTATACTATCAACTTCTAGCTTTCAAGAAAAGAACCTTTCAAGTAACAACTGTAAGAAAAAATATTATAGTTTGAATATTTAAGCAATAAAACTGCTAGAGACTTATTCTAAGCTGCTTTTTATTTTAAGTGTCTCTCCTGAGCATAAGGTAGAAATTCTCACTGTGGGAGCTTTTCTGTTCTCTCAATAAATCCTGCTTTCTAAAAAACTAAAAAGTCCAAAAAAAAAAAATTTCTCTATTCACTAATTCATGTGGAAAGACCAACCTGAATTGTTTAAATCATGCAACATGGCTAGGCGTGGGGGCTTGTGCCTGTAATCCCAGCACTTTGCAAGGCTGAGGAAGGAGAATCACTTGAAGCCAGGAGTTCAAGACCAGCCTGGGCAACATACATAGCAAGACTCCCCATGTCTACCAAAAAAAAAAAAATTGTGCCATACTAAGTATATTTTTTTCTTTCTCCTAATTATTTCTTGAAAGCCTACTGTTCTAGGCATGATACATTCATTACTAGGTTAAATAATATGAGATGCTTTTGAGTTGAGTCATCAGAAATGTTTTGTAATTTTAACTTAAACATACTTTGAAGTTGGTTCCGAAGAAAGATCAGAACTCCCTTAACGTGACTGAGAGGATTAGCTCACCAAAAACCAGAGGGGCTCTACCATCCCATCTTGCCTATCTGTTCTAAAGACAAGATCCTATCTCCTCCCGTCACCCACATACCCACCCTGTATCTCCCTTCAAACATACACTGATTCTATCTGAAACTGTTTACAACTAAACAGCTGACCCGGAAAAGGTTTTAATTGGTTGGAATAATATACTTCAGTAAATCTTTTGAGTCCAACAATTTTAGAGCCCACATACAGAGTAAAAGAACAGTGGGGAGAGGCAGAACTGTCTTTGTTAGTATATACATTTTTGAATTTGAAAGTGTAATTTGCAAAGACAGTAACCTCCCTCTTCCTCATCTTTATAAAAAGCTGAAGTATGACTAAATCACAGAACAAGGATAATTTTAATTTAAGCAATATAAAAAATGGGTTTAACTTAACATGACTTTTCTCCATTAGCTGACCAAAAATTCTCAACCAGGAGTACCACCTCTTGGAAGATTAAGCTTTAATGAAAACCCAGCTTCCAGTCATGAATCCTGTTTAAAAAAAGGTTTTTTCTTTAATTGTTTAACTTTTAAAAGTAAACATATCAGGATAAAGGATTAACCAGTAAAAGGGGACAGAGTAAAAAAGACGTTCTACAGTCCAACTTGAGCAGGCAACCCTAGATTCCAAATACATTAGTCCAGTTATAATGCAAGGCATTAAATGTAATGTTACTCTTCAGTGGGTAACTTAAGTAACTTAATTTGAAATAATGAGAATAATAATAAAATATGAAGCAGAATGTTTAAATATTAAAGAAGTCAACATAGTAAGGTTTGTATATAAAATATTCTTCAATCTTGTATATATAAAGTACTATCTGGTAGTCAAACATCTATGTAATTTCCACATAAGTCACAAATGAAAGCACACAAGTAGAATAAAATAAGACATTTTTTGCATCCCTTTAGTCTCTTCCAAATGTTTAATATTGTAGAGAAAAAATACAACCAAAGGAGATAAAAGTAAATATATATACTAATTTTTAACCATTTCAGTTTTAATACATCCCAGAAGAGGTGAATGCTTATGCACTGCTATATTCATCACATTTCAGTTAAATGGTAACGCACTGGGTTGGAATAGCCACTCTAAACACTAGCTTTGGAAGAGCTTTTTCTTAAATTATTTCAAAAAAAAGAGGGAGGAGAGAAGTACCTCTTTAATTTGTTCATCAGTTGAATTTTCAGTTCAAGAAAAATATATATAATTTTTAAGTTTTGGAGTTTGTGTTTCATCAGCAATGACTAAAACTGCTATTTGGATTTTTATTGCAGATGACAAAATTTTTCAATGTACACAAAATGCATTTGTTTTTGCAGTAGGCAGTTAAAGTGAATTTTGCACATAAGTTTTCTAGTGTTCCCTTCTGATCTTTATCTGCAATTCCCTTCAAAGAAAAGGATATTACTTTGTTGAAGAAAAGTTTCGAGATACTGATACTTAACATTATTTATAAGGACAACTTTTAACTAATATTCAATTCAATTTATTCCTTGAATTTTTTTGTGGGAATAGGTATGGCAAAATAGGGATACCACCACCAGTAACTGAAATTCAGGTTTAATAAAGTAACACAATGTCTAAGGAAATTATTTAAAACTGCATCTCTGAATATCTTTTTTTTTTTGGTTATTTTTAACTACCTAATAGAAGATTTTTTTAAAAATCCCCAGATGAAATGAAATACTTAGGCATTCTTAATAGTGCAACTGTTCTCTCATACTAGAATATCAATAAAGAGTACAAAGTTCAAAAGAACAGCATAAAAATAAGGACTAAGAAATCATCTTCATTTCCTAGTTTAATTATGGAGAGTGAAGTATTGCACTTTATTATTCAACACAAAATGATGTAGCCAACAGTAACATACAGGTACACAATTTAATATTTATTATATGCATTTTATATACATTATTTTCAACAGCTGTATGTTTGCTATGTGGTACAATCTTAAAAATTTGCTGATTCATAGTTGTAAAACAAAAACCTTACAAAACTCATCAAAACTCGCAAACTGATCAGAAAAGTTTTTTGGAAGACTAGAAAAAATACTTTATTGTCTTAATCATGCATTACACAAACAAAATCTTTAGTTACATCATAAAATTAAGCACATCTAAAAAAATAAAACAGGGATAACTAGTCCAAACACAGCAGAGTTCTGTATCCTGATTCAACTATTTTTGTATCCTATTTGTAATGCAAATAAAATTTTACTCCAAATACTTTTAAACAAGTTAGTTTTGTTTGGAATCATGGAAAACCAAGATGTGTATCTTTGGGGGACCCACCTTGGTTTGTAACTTAAACTATAAAATATTCCATTTTTAGTCTATTTTAGACTATTCAAAGAGTTCCAAAATAGATATACAGGTTCCTTTAGCACATTAATAAAAGGATATAAAGACCAACAAAAAGTGAAATAAATAATAGGCTATTAGCAAGATGGATAATCCTTGATAAATAAACTTGTAAATACAGTAAGATGTACAAAATATCACATAGTGATAAGATGCCAAGATTAGTTTTTCTTTTTTCAGAGTTCATTTGGAGTACTAAACCCCACTGTTTCTTTTTAATACACTTAATAGTCCTTGGTTTATGAAGACATTTATGTGATGATATGGGTTATTTAGTATCTTTATGGGAGGACTTAGCTGAGCTGTATTAAGCAAAAGAAGGAAAGAAAGTGGTTACAGGGCAGTAAGTCAGTGAGATCTCTGTGTTTTAGGGTTGTATAATGCAGAAAATCTTCAATACAATCTTGAGCACTGTTGTGACAGGCTAAATATATAAAAAGACTTATAAAAACTAGAATTTTTTCCAAACATTTTGTGCAACTAATGCTAAAATATTTTAAGTTAAATTTTCTTTTTTCTTTTTTTTAAAGCAAAATAAGTTTAAAAGGGAATCTGTGGCATTCAACTGATAAACAGAAGATCACTAACAGATGAAAAAAAGCTACTCTTGGAGCTCACTTCCCCCAACAGGAGCACCACATTCCTAACCCTAAGGCAGCACACAGAGTCCAAAAACAAAAACAAACAAACAAAAAATTCTTTTTGAAAGATCAGACTCTACATTGGCTTAAAGACATCTAAAAAACAGACATACGCTCGGTTTATATCCAGTACAGGCCACGAATACTGGAGTCTTTTTTTTTGTCCCACAAAATACAGTAATTACAGTTAAATTAATGAGTCTGACATTAAGATGTGATGTCCACCAATTTATGCCTGCCCCAAATAGCCTTCACCAGGCAGATCACATGTAGTGTCATATCAGTAACTTTATTGATGGCAGTGATGCAGACCCTCTTTCTGTCCAAGCAAATCTTTGTTATGATGCGAGTGTTTGTTGATTCATACAAATACTTTGGCAAGGGCATCAGCTCCTGCACTGGCTATATATGCTTTTGATGGATGGAAAGCAACATCATAAATGGATTCATCCAATTTTTTCCTATGAGCTGTTATTTCTTGCACACATGTCTTGCTGTCTAAATTCCACAATCTTATGGAACAGTCATGGCCTGTAAAAGAATAAATAAAGTTTGTTACTGAGTAACAGTTCTTTTATAAAATTTGAGTGCAGTACAGAATGAAAGTTCAGACTTACTTCCAGACATCAAATAGATTCCATTAGGATCTACTGCTAAACTTGTAACAGCATCCAAATGAGCTACCATAGAATGGATCATTTTACCTAAATAAAACATAACAGAGAAAATTAGGTTTTCGTAAATACTAACTTGAGACATCAGCATCAACAAAAAAATCACTATAGCAATTTTTAAAAATTGTGGTAAAGTATATAAAACATAAAATTTATCAGTGTAACCATTTAAGAGTATACAATCCAGTGACTTTTACAACATTCCGTGTTGTGTGACCATAACCAGTATCTAGTTCAGAACATTTTCATCACCCTGTACTCATTAAGCAGTCACTCCTCATTTGTCTCCTCTCCCCAGTCCCTGGCAACCACTAATCCGCTTTTTCAGCAGACTGGCCTATTCCAGATGCTTCGTATAAATGGACTCATGTAATATGTGTCTGGTTTCTTTCACTTAAAATAATATTTTCAAGTTATGTATGCTATAGTGATATTTGAAGAGAACTTAAATTCTAACGCAGAACTTTCCTAGATAATTACTCCTAAAACAGACATTTGTGTGACATCAATTTTACAGTGTAAAATGTAATAACAAAGGATTGAATCAAAGGCTTAAGATCATATAAATTGAAATTAAGATGAAAATAAGCCAAGTGTGATGGGGCATGCCTGTAGTCCTAGCTTCTCGGAAGGCTAAGGTGGTAGGATCACTTGAGCCCAGGAGTTCAGGGATACAGTGTGCTATGACTATGTCTGTGAATAGCCACTGCACTCCAGCCCAGGCAATATAGTAAGACCCCATCTCTTAGGGGAGAAAAAAA